TTCTATACTACGATTCAAATTGGCCCGCGGGAGTTCATAAAACGCATAGAATACTCAGAAATTACTTTCCAATGACGTAAAAGGTCGCCAACAGCCTCCAGTATTGTTGCCTGCCTGCTTGCCTCACCTGTTTTCGACGGCAAACGCACGAATTAATGGAGGTAATTGTGGCAAAGTTTTTGGCCGCATTCGATTTCTTATCCAACGAACATAGATTCGTTCAGATGTGGCCACTCCAAGTAAACAGGCATTAGTAGATTACAGCGCGCCTGTCTTCGTCTGGATATGCGCGACTGATCCTTACGAGTTTCCATCAATCAGCAAAAATTTCTAAAAAAAAGCAGAGACACGTCTGCCGGAAACAGCAATGGTCTTAAGGTCACATCGACGTTTTATAGAAACGGCGATATCTTTAATCGTTTGCGACTGTTTGCTGATTTCTAAACAATAGACCCGTATGATATTTGACAAATACTAGTATCCACGTTTAGCGTGCTGGCCGAGAAACGTGCCACTGTGGCTATTCACTTAGTGTAAATTGTCTTTACGCACGCGAGTTGCCACACTTGACGACAGCTTTGCTATCGTTCGTAAGCCTCATTCTGTCATACGGTTAAGTCTGTTTTTGTCACTATTCATACCAATTCGGTGTTTATAACCCTATCATATGCGTCTATATATTCGATACGGCAGCCAGTCCTTAATTGACTGATGATCTGGTAGCGGCCTGCGCGCCCGATAACAGATGGAAAGAGGCGGCTCAAAGCCAGATCACCGACCCGTTCACGCTATAATAGCAACTGAGATTGTATCAGCAACTATTATGCAATGTATGAACAAGTCAGAGATTCCCCATTCAAGCCGTTGTATTCGAGCTGCGTTTCCAGCTGTTACTCAGTAAGGCCCCATTTCAACCTCTTCTCGGCCTGTCCAATCTCCTGTGTCGTAAGGCAGCAGTAGTGCAGCTTTAGCTGCTGCTACCAGCAAAAGGCCTCCGTTCGTCTTTCTCACAACAACAATACAATGGCATGAAGGTCGTTCATACGCCAGACTGGTTTAAACATCTAATGAACGCCGCGTTACTCGAATGCTGATATTAACTGTTGAGAGGCATTGGCAGATTCTCATTAATGAATGAAAGCTTGCTAGATCCACTCTAGCTGTTACTAGTCTAATTAATGAAGTAAAAGTTGTGAGAAAATCACATCTTTCATTCACCGCTTGCAGCTCACCCCTCCATCCTGACTCCTTTACCCTCCAGTACCATTTTTGAGCCACGTCCTTTCGCTTCCCTCAACGCCTGTTTCTTCCACCACAACTGCACGAGTGCTCTTGCACTGGCGTAATGGTAAACGTTCTGACTACCACGCCCGAAGCAGAGACAGACAAAATACGCATATATTCACCTTACGTCTGTTTGCTAGCGTAATCTCGTCGTCGTTCGTTTCCGGCTTTTGCCATGCGCGCACTTTTCCTACCCCTACATACTATGCCTACGGGTATCGCAACAGAAGTTTCTGTTTGTAAGCTATGCACATCGGCACAGGCACTATGATACAGTACGACTCGCTAAGTAACAGACAAATGTAGCGCAAAGTACAGGCTGTGCCTTCAAAATTAAGCTTTGGACTCCGGACTAAATTTTCGTAATACATCGCAAAAATTTGCGGCTAAGTACTTGCGACTCTAACGAAAAGAACTAAAGATCCGGGGAAACATGGATCCACAATGGAATTGAGGTAGATAACACGCTGTTTCTACAAGCTGGTAAAGGCGGTAATAGTAATGGATAAGATTCACCTATTCTTCTGAATTAAGAAAGCTCTTAGGTTAGGATTTGCATTTATATTCACTTAGGAGATATGCACAAACATATTTTAGACGATTTTTATAAATTCTTGTTGAGCATGTACACAGCATACATGTGTAAGGCATTTCGATGCCCTACACATGTATGGTGTGGATATTTAACAGTTGAACTGGGCTTATCTGCCCGTCGAAACAAACCACTTATCAAATCGTCATCTGCATGCGGAAAGAGCGATTGAATTGTTTTATTTTCCTTTAGCCTAAAGCCTTTTACTCTGTTGTGATAGGCCCTATTTGAAATCCTTATCAAGTGTCATCTATCTGTCACAATTCCGCTCATACAATTCGTTGTCGGAGCGCATAGACGCGGACACAACAATCTATGGAAACGGTCTATGTTATGACCTGCAGTCTGTGCTACCGGAAAGGTTCTCCGTGTAGGCCCGTTACCAATAGGCAAAACGAAGCCTAAATTCATATGCTTCATTATTCATTCATCAAACGTCATCGTGAACCAATACAGAAACGATTTGGCAAGAGAAAACTTTATTCTGCAGAAGCTCAATAAACTTTGGGAAAGAATGCTTGTTCAGTTAGTCAAGAACAGACTCATTCTTGTAACGCGAATGTTTTTCTACTGCTGTAATCTATTTTGTGACTCTGTTTGGTACATGCCTCCTGACGCTAAGCCATGTAATAGACATACAAATGCTTTGAACAACGGCAACGGTATTTTTTAACCAAGGTGATTATATTATGTCATAGTATGTCTAGAACTCCTTTTTTTGTCTAACAGACTGCGTGCTGTTTCAATTCAGACTGTTTTTCTCTTACCCCCGGCATTGTAAATAATTCACTCTCGCAAAAAGGACAGGACGACAGCGACAGCATGGGGTAGCTGCTTGATACCCTTTATCAACCAAACTCTATACATCGTTTATTCAGATAGATGAATTGAGTTTTTTATGTTTTTTGCCAGCGACTATTGGCGGCTTCCGTGACAGGCTACACCTACTAGCTTCGTTAAAAACAAGGGCGTGTGCCCTTTATCTCACGCCTGCCCTTCATTTGACTCGTATCACATAGAAATTTCCTTAACGCACACAGATTGCGTAGTATGTAACGTTAATTAAATTATATATATAATGATACCCGCTTGATTGGCATGCATAACACCGACATTTAGAGCGGGGTAACGCATTGAAATTCATATGCACCGATTTCTTCGAGACACAATATTCTCTTTATATATAACCTAAATCTGTAATAATCTTCTGCTTCTGGAATAACAGATTAGGCAAAGTCCATAACCGTGAGGAAAGACGAAGGAAAAAGAGCTATCTAGCCATTTCTGAATCTTACATTGTATCATTTTCCTTTTTGTGTAACAGCCTGTATTCTGGATCTCATGGTATTTCTATGGCGAATCCGTGCGCCACTATTTAACCCGGCAACAAATCGCTTCCGTATGCGCCATTGAATAGCTTATATATAACCCCAGTTTGGTCCACTCCGCTGCTGATCACATGTCTCACTTTTCAACACGAGGGACAAGTCGTGCTCTTGGCTACAGCAGATCTCTGAGATCGCTAAGGTACGGGATCCGACGACACTATTTCATAGATGAGTAGGCAAGCAAACCATTTGACCCTATTCCGAATCCGTTTGGATCGTAGCCTTTCGAGTACAACCACGGACACGCGCTTATATACCATATTATGGTGTTCCTGCTTGGACTTTTCGATTATGTTAGAACAACTGGGCTTTTATGGCCGCAGTCTCGTTTAGTTTTTAGCCTAACTAGGTCCCGATCGGTATCTCCCCAAATGAGTTATCCGGACGTTCCGAACATAATATCGATTGGATGAGGTGGGGTAACAACGTTTGTGTAGGCGTACAGTAGCGCCCCCTATGTAGTTCCGATATTTCGAGAGAGAGACAGATAGAGAGCGGGAACGTGTCTGTGTGATAGAGGAGGAGGGCACCGAACTGAGAGGCGCACTCGCGTGGCTATTGTCTCCGTGCTTTCCCTGGACGGGTTAAGCTGGTAATAAATGTGACTTTTAAAAAATGTACTCATATGTGTATATATTGATACTACATGGAGAAAGAGCACATATATATATGGCTTGACAGAAAACCCTACTGTAAAAAGAACACATGTGCGAAAGATCGTTTTTATTCTCCTAAAACATTGAATACTTCCCATATTCCCGAATGCGTTACGAAGAGACGCTTGCAGCTGAGAACACTGCACGACGTTACGTTTTTCTTCACACTGGCGCACGAGAGCACTGCATTCCGCTCGACGAACATGGACGCCCTAGCATATGTTCATGATTCTGCCGTCTTCGTCTCGTCTTCCCATAGGAGCACATTTTCCCGAAAAGCAATAAGCTGTCGGACGAAAATCGTCCACGACAGCAACATATCATAGAGCGTAAATATACGAGAAATGGGCGAAACGGAGGTGAAGGAAAACCTAGGAAATTGAAATGAGATCTGGAGTACTCGGTGAGTGATGAGCTAACTCCTCCAGCGAATAAAGTCCGTCTCAGGCAGTCGCCATTCAACTAACGGGACGAACCGGCCGTCCTGACCGATCGCTAGTCATTAATCACACCCCTCGCGCCCTACCAAAGAAAAAAATGGGAGAACAATGGGACGCAGGCAATGAATATGTGCATCACATGACACAGAAGAGTAATTATCGACAAATTAACGTAAAAGAACGGAATGCTACAGCTGTCAACCGGCAGTGGCGATTCCGGCCAAATCAATGATCATGTACTACGTAAGGGTTTATTTAGTAAGTGTAATGGTAATGGATAAGATGAGGTTCTGTGCAATTGCTCGGGCACTTCTGGGGGGTTCCTGCTGGCGATCTTTGATTGTTGATGCTAGTAGCGTTAATAAGTGGGATTGTTTTTTTTTTGCGTTTGCATAGCTAATACCTATTCGTAGAATACAATCAGTAGCAATTTCCGCCATGTGAATGAAGATTCATCAATGGAAATTCATCGCCGCTGGCTGGCAATCAAAGCAAAGCTTGCCAGTATACGTTTGACGGGTCACCACCGCCGCCTCCAGATTTATGTTACTAATTATATTAAGCAATTGAATTCAATCTAATATCACCCCCTAATGTATATTATATTATGATATACGCATATCTCAAGGTAATTAGACAGACTGCTGTCAGTGCTATTGTCGTTCATGGTTTACTATTCGTTGTTCAGTGTTAACCCCCGAGTCATGCAAAACCCGTTATTGTAAGGAGAAGAACATTATCGGATACAATCACGGAAGATGGCATTTCAACAGATTCGAGCAGCCGAGTACGGTTGTGAACTAGAGTATTTCCGCTTAAGGTAGGCGCTACTTCGTACTTCATAGCTTATCATGACACACGTTGACTTGGTAGTAGCGCCTTCCCGTTAATGCGCGCATATATATATATATATAGATACTATCCATGCAGATTCACAGACTTGCTTCACTTACAAACCGACTCAGCACCTCACTACAAACAAAAAAACAGCACAGATCTCGTGGTCTAGCGATTCATACCTGCAGCTATCGCAACTAGAGCAATTGTTACAATTCCAATCACCGGTATCTTCAAACAAAAGAACCATAGTTGAAAATATGCGATGCAGCTGTTTCATATCGAGACTCGTTGGTTGCTGAACGTAAAGGCAACGATAAAAGTCAGCCCTACATCACGCATAAATAAAGTGTACAGCTCTCAAAAGTGTGAACATGCTATAACGAGATGCAGATAAGACTAGATGTTATATTCTAATTTGCAGGCGTTCCTGTACAAAGCATGCGGTCCTAGGGGGCCAAACTACAAGGGGCCAACATGTTAGATACACATCTACAAACATCCACAAAGCAGCAAACTATTGCCGAGCTCGCGACCCGAAAGCACAGGGTATAAAAACATCGTTTCCAGCAGCGTACTTACAGCCCAACGTACTCACTGGGTCACTATCTTTCGACAGTATCGATGACAATGCGCACGGCCATACCATGGACAAGCGTGTTTTGCCAGCGGATCAAGACTCGCACGTGTCATTAACATCACCGAGCGCCCAACGGCCAATCACTTCATTATGAATGACGCCCAGTCAATGGCAGCGCAACTAACGCGCGATCCAACATCTTCCTATACAGCTATCCAGGCAGCAAGTCTCCCCATGAGTGCGATCGCAAAAACCGCGAGCTTACCTTCTACACTTATCCGACAAAACATTTTCCCCGTTGTTGGCCGTGACTGGGACGCTCATGAATCATCATTGACGGACGACAGCGCTATGTTAAACTAGAAAATGTTCTTTTACGACAACTTAATAACTGGTGCTATTGATAACGGTGACGCAAGCCTTTGAGAGTTACTCTCGACTTACAGCAGGCATGGACACACGAACTGAGAGAACCGAGAACTAAAAAATCTGCGTGGACGCGGAGAGAAATGCACTCACAGGTGCCTGTCGCGAGACAGTGGCGGGGTGTAAATGTAAAAGTAATAAAATGGCCTATTCCAGTTGCTCCAATCATTGTATACTGCTCGGCCGATTGGAGTTATACAGGCGGCGCAATTATTATCATACAACTAGTATTATTATTGCGACTTTCGTTGTTGACGGAACGAATACATAGGACCTGGATCTACTCGTCTGGGGCAGACATCTATCTCGAACTAAAACTGCCTCTGCGACGATCTACTATATGGTCCTGTTGTCGTAATAGCACTTGCCGCGTTGGCGTACTGACGCTACGTCGCTGACAAACTGCTACAAAACACCAGCGCACTGCAGCCTGCCGGCGTAATATCCCTTCATATTGCTTTCACCAAAGATGGCGAGTCTAGCTCCCGTTCATAAACGTGTGCGCAAGGTACGCACGTAATATTATATATTTGAACCATGTCTGCGACGCCTGGCGACGTTATTGACACTAGCATAGCAGGAATATTACGGGTGCACATGCAGCGTGTTCTAAGTCATCCGTTCGTTTGCTATCGTAATGGTATATAGCCAGATTCGCATCAAGCAAATCAATGACTGGTGGAATGATGCGCGCCAGCTGTGAGATAGACGTCCGTGCCTGTCTATTTGACTAGCAGCATGTAGCTGGTCACTTCGTTTCTTGTTGCTGGAAGCAACAAACGTACATAAAATCCCAACACGCACGTTAGTTACTAGAACGATTTCACGGCGTCCCTACTGTTATCTGATATCTAGCAGAGCTCGAACAGCTGCGAGAGCTACAGAGGTTTTCGCCGGTTTTCCAGGTGCAAACTCGCGTTCGCCAATCTTCTTGAGTTGGCTGCCTCCTCCAAATTAGCTGCAACGCTAACGCCTTATGGCTGAAGCAACGGGCGTCTACAGAAGCAACTCACTCCCAATGACGATCGACAACAGAGCATTCATCATGCCTGAGACGGACACCTCTCGCAGCTCTAATGCTGCCAGCATCACCGTCTTTCAACTGACAGGGAGCGATTCAGTCACGCGCCGTTGGTCGTTTGTGCTGGCGCTACTACTGCTGCTCGATTTATCTGTCGATCTCTTCGCTACCGTCGCCGCCACCTCACAGCGCCGACTAGCGATTGTCAGGCGACGAGCTGCCCTCTCCAGCAGATCCCTTTGAGGAAAGGGCGACGCTGCATGGCCTCGCTCGGCCGCGACTCTCATTCGTGTGACGGCCGTCCTGCGCTCAACATCGACTTTGTTCCGTAGGCCCGTGTATCTCAGCCGCGCTGTTGGAAACTTGTAGCAGCAGGCAGTCTGTAAGGACAGAGAAACTTAGCGGGCGATTTGGCTGCTGCCGCTGCTGTGCTACGGCGACGGCGGCCCGACTCACCGCCTTCCTATCGCCGCTCCCAGCGACCCCTGGTGAGCTCAACCCGCGATTCGCACGTCCGTGGTGCGCTGGATGGCGGCCGGCTTTTGCACGTCCGTGTCGCTCTGGCGGGGTGTCGCTCTTGCACAGTTGTATTATTCTATGTGAGCAGCGCACAGCAAGTCAGTGCTTTCTGTGTCAAGTGTCTGGTGTTTAGTATGTGTGTGTTCTCTGTGTCCCGCAAAGGAAACTTGTTCGAGTGGCTGTAGCCCGGCTATCTGCTACGGCCGTCTGCAGCGGCGGAAACAGCAGCGGTTATCGGCCGCAAAAGCTGTATGCGATCGTGTGAGCACCAGCTTCGTGTACGGTGCCCGCTCGAAGCGAACCGTCACATCAGCAGAAGCGGGGCGATCCATTGGCGCCAGTCTTAGCAGCCGTGCCGCCAGCTGCAGTTTGAAAAACTCTCCTAGTCATAGCCACATACTCACCAGTACCATTAGTCGCGCTCTGTAGAGACCACAGTGATTAAGGACGGCAACGGCGGCGGCCGATGGACAGAGCGGGCGGCGAGGCGGTCGAGCAGCAGACCCATGATAGTACGGGGCGGGACCTCGAATTCGAAGCAGTGTCGGCGTCCCTCCGGCAGCAGCAGTAACTAACGTTGTCGTTCGGCTCTAGAAAAAACAACACGGTGCGATCAGGCAGACAACATAGAGGGGAGACAGCACAGCAAACGAACAACCGACGGACGGACGGATGGCAGACCATTACTTCACTGTGTTGTTGTGCTATTTGCCATAGTTGGTGCCGTCTTGATGCTGCTACAACAGCACCGCTGCTGTTGCTGTTTTAGCTGGAAAGCCAAATAGGAGTGGGGCAACTCGCCGACGAACGTGCGACGGTCGCCAGCAAACATTGGCATGGCGGTACGCAGAAAGACACCTGCTTATACAAATGGCATAGCATCATTGGATGACCGCTGCCTCTGAGCTTGGACCACGCTGTTTTACCAAGTACTGGCCACAGTGGCAACAGCAGCAGCAGCAGCATTAGCACTAGTAAAAGTAATAGCTGAATTAGCTCTAGGCGACGACCTACTGGTGTCGACACGCGAGTAACAGCAGGCCTGCCCATCCAGTAGCGATCTTCTCTCATCGTATCGATGATAATTGATTCCTTATATTCCTTTCTATACGTATGCTAGACAGGCAGCACCAGTCAATTGTGACAAACGAGGTGTGGTACCGTTGTAGTGTGCTTTTTGCGGTGCTGCTGCGGCAGTGGCAAAAGCCACCGACGGTGCGGTGTTAGCCGGCTAGCTACAACGTAATGGCCCAGACCCGAAATAGGGTCGATTATACAGCAGCGACCTTAAAGGCAGCAGAGCACAGCACCGCACGCCACTATCACGACTGCGAGGACAAGAACAACGCTAGCATCTAGTGTAGGAAAGGACGACAACAGAAACCTGCCTTCCCGTCGTCTCCAGAAGCAACGGCGGCCACAGAAACCCCACCAGCACCATTGTGGCCTGTGATCGCTGCTGGACAACTCCGCACGCTGCCTTGCCTGGTGGCTCGGTGTGATACGATAAACTGGCGTTCAATTGTCCTACCACTGTACATGCGCTCGCCGTTACACCTGGTGGGCGCTAGTGGTAAGTGGGCACAACGTTAAACATATTAGTCTTCTTGGTTGGGGTTGTCAGCGCACTATGATAGTCAGCCGGACGCAATGAACCGCAGTGAAACCTTAGGAGACGAACGGATATACCCAGCAAGTTGACGAAGACGCGTTTCTGTACATGTTAAGTTCGATTTGATGATACTGCTACGACGACGAATTGATTAGCGGAAACCAATGTGCTGTACCAGCCAGTACCATCTAAGCAGAACATCGATTAGCCGGTGTCATGTAAAACAGCATCGACAGTCTCCACGATGCAGAAACTGTTTGCAACTCAAATGAAGATGTTACACGGGCTTACGATACTCTCGAGCTATAAAGTGGAGTGATTCCAATTAATATAAATATTGTTTCCCTTCGACCGTGGGCGTGTGTGCGTGTGTATGTGGGTGTGGGTGTATGTGTGTGTGCGTGCGCGGGCGTGTCTGTGTATGGGTGGTGGATGTGTGCATGTTTATGCAGTGTCCCATGCGGTCTGTTGAATGTAGGCAGACCAGGCTATGCCGGTAGCCGGCATCATTGATTTGTCGTCGCAGTGGAATATACCGTACACAGTACGGCCGCATAGAAGCAAACAGATCAGTGGAGCGCTTCCCCCAGGAAGCCCTAAATCGAGCTGAATTAAGCCAGCTCAAGGTGATGCAACATGAGCACCACAGCGAGCACGTCGCCTGCGACCGCTCGACTTTTCGTCAGTTCGGCTCTGGAACGCGATGAGACCGGCGTCGAAGAGAAACTCGACCAAGGTCTAGCGTTGCTGCAGGCGCTCACGCACAACATGAGTGACAACGAGGCGATCGAAGGTCTTACCCAGCACGTATGCCGGAACCAGCCCAGCCACGAGGAGGTGTCGTTCGGCCTGCTAGCCATCATGCTCACCGAGCCATCACTGGCTGGCCGATTCTATCGCGATCTGACCCTCGTTAGTCGGGATGGTATGCAGACGTTTATCGCCCAGTTAATCCAAGTGGCCATCGAGCGCTACCCAAAACTTAGTGAAGTGGCCCGTAACCAGCTGCTATGGTTGGCACGCGAGCTGATCAAGCATCTTGTATCAGGTACCGACGCTGTCGTGCTTAATTTGTTACGGCAGGTTCAGGGTGGTGACGTGAGCCCGAGGAACGTCTGGCTAGCCGAAGCGCTACTCAATTTGCTCTGCGAGAATTCTATCTGGCTAGAAAAGTTTCCCATTTTGTTAGCCACGAGCGTCTATACATATCTACGATTAATCGTCGATCATTTCTCGCCTCAGTTTGCGCAGCTCCGACAGCGAGAGGTTGAGTTTTGCATAAAAACGCTCCGGGAAAAGTTTCAGGAGTGTGCAATGATAGGTCGCGACCTCGTGCGCGTCCTGCAGAACGTGGCGCGCATACCCGAATTCGAGGCGATCTGGAGAGACCTGTTAGAGCGGCCGACGGCGCTGTCGCCGTCATTAACTAATGGCGTCGCGCAGTTACTTGCCACGAGGACGCCCCGCCGCTTTCTGCAATCCCGTGTCACGCCAGATATGGAGAGAAAACTTTACTTTATGACGCATCAAGTGAAACTTGGCCAACAGCGTCGTTATCAAGACTGGTTTCACAAGCAGTACCTGTCGACGCCCGAGAGCCAATCGCTGCGATGTGATCTTATTCGGTATATCTGCTGTTTTATCCATCCGTCGAACGAGATCCTCTGTTCGGACGTCCTGCCCCGGTGGGCAGTTATCGGTTGGCTTCTGATGACATGTCTGTCCAACGTCGAAGCGTCTAACTGCAAAATGGCACTGTTCTACGACTGGCTCGTTTTCGACTCGGAAAAGGATAATATCATGAATATAGAGCCTGCTATCCTTGTCATGTTCCATTCGATCCGCCCTCATCCGCAAATTACTGCCACCCTATGGGATTTTCTGATTCGGATCATGCGCGAGTTTTCGAAGCCGCTCGCGGACCGGATTCGTCAGGGCATCCATACGTCGTTGCGGGTTATCCTCGAAAAGCGGGTTCTATCGTCACTTGCCCCACTATTCGACTACCCCCGACTTGACAACGAACTCAAGAACTGTATCCGAGAAAACTTTGCCGAATTCTACACGGCCGATATGAAGAAACAGCCAATCGTTATCGATGACATCCAGGCGGTCGGTGGTGGGGTGCCTGGCGGACCGTCCCCCATTCATCCCGTCCTTGTAGATGGAAGTCCAGTCATCGTTAACTGCGAACGGACTGCAGATATGGCTAAGTTCTCCGATGATGAAGATGAAAACAACAGCGCCGTATTCCGACCGATCAAACCTGAGGTCAAAAGTGCACCAACCACCGCCACAACGTTACCGCAGGATAACATTGTCAAGCTCAAGCAGGAGGTCAAGCTAGCGTCGCAAATTGGCGGCGCTCCAAAGCAGCTCGGTGGTAGCGCAATTGATGATAAGAAACCTTTGGTGATGGTCACCGGTGTGGGAGGCGGAACTCCAACTCCCATAGTTGTGACGGGTGGCATCGCTGCAACCGGTGGTAATATGCCCGTCACCATTCAGATCGGGAATAACTCCGATGGTAGCCCTTCGCCACCGGCGATCGATGAATTTCTCGAGGGTCTACCTGAACCATTCAAGACACACATGAGCCAACTGCAGAAAGAGCGAGATACCGAGAGCCAATGCGCGGTAATCGAACGCCTCATGCAAGATCTCATCGAGTGTGAGACGTTCGACCGCCCATTGGCGAAGCAGCTCGGTGCGTGCTTTTCACACGTGCTTACCGACGAGTTCACCCGGAACGTTCTGCCGGACACGCTGAACAATGACACGTTGGAAAACGCCATCGGAACACCGCTGTTCGTCCTATTGCGTAGCTTCTGCCAGACTTCACCTCAACACGAGTCTCGACGAGCGCAGCTACAGATTCTCGTTGAAATGTCGCTTTACCAGCCACGACTTTCGGTTTTGCTATTGTTCTACCAAAGAGTAAAGCGTGTGCACCTGACCAATCAGGAGGCGACAGCGGATCAACCCAGCCGAGGATTCGATTCGAACAGCTCACCGTACGAAGAGCTCGTTGTAGCCAAGAACGCCAAACACAGTTTGGAAGACGCACTGCGCGATGATCTCGCGCTGTGCGAACAGGCTGGTCATATTCGTTTGTTGTGCTTCCTTGTGCCAGAAGTTTACTCGCAGTTCGCATCAGCTGCTTTGGGCCATTCCGAGCTACTTCATCTTGTTCTATCGGTTATTGACTCCAGTCAACTTCAACAACTCTGTTGTCAATGTCTGCAGGGCGAGCTTACGATGCTAACCCAGGACAACTTTCTGCCACTGGCCAAGGCATCGCTTCACTGGGAAACGTTCGAGCAGATGGCCTTCTGGGGTTTGCTGCAAGCACACCGATTCCAATCCGAGTGGCTGTTACCACTTTTGCCACTACTGAACTTCGTAAACCACCAGGAGGCATGCAACAGCGCCATGTTAATTCTTGCTGCCCAGAAACCGTCGACGGAACTGGTGCAAGTACTTCTTTCGCGAGATATTAACGACAAAGACATTCTGGTCCTTTCACTGCTAAAGCACTGGGCTATTCTTTGTGCCGATGTCCTAGCTGAAGTCCTGGCCACGATGGTAGTACCTCAAAAGGGTGCGTGTTTAGAGCCATAACAGTTGTTTTGGGCTGTTTCCTTACATTTGTAAACTATATTTTGTTTTTGTTTGCAATGCATTGGCAAGTACAACAATTTTCATCTCGTATCATTAAAAAGACGCATATATATGTATATATATATATATATATATATATATATATATATATATATATATACAATCTCTTAAACATAACACTAGTCAGCAGCTAGCGTTACCTATCATCTTTTTATTTTTTTTGTTCGATAGGTAATAAGCGTCGGCGGCAAACAAAAAGCCAGGCCGCTCAAAGTACCCAGCAAGCCCTGCTGCATCTCGATCAGCTGCGGCAAAACTGCGGGGAAAGCACCGATTTCTTCGCAACCGAGCCCTTGCACTCGGCGTTACAGCATGCGCACGTCGCAGCCAATGAAAATCAACGGGCGAGATTCGCCCAACTCTTTGCACTTGCCGCGGACGACGACTCGGAAGAGGAATACACCCCCGTTCGGGAGAAAAGTAAGGCACGAAGCTCGAATCGTGGTAAACGCGGGGGTGCTGGCAGCGTATCCGGATCCCCCCAAAAACGAAGTGGAAATACTACAAGCGGTTCAAGCAAGAAAGATCGCAATGATGATGAAGGATCGGACACGGAGTATGATTCAAGCACCGAAGAGGAAACAAGCAAGCCAAAACCACCGCGAAAACGACGGAAACAGCTGGTATCGGACTCCGATTAGGAGACGAAGTGTCCGAAAGTCAACTGGCGCGAGGACCAAGGAAATGGTTTTGAAAGTTGTATTCGTCTTGTGCTTCGGCTGCTAATGTTACTAACAAGTTACCACTAGTGAGTCGCCTCTTTGCCCTACGATCAACGACATTCGAATTCCGAGCTTGGTAGGTCGATTTTAAGACACAAAAAGTCTGCGTATTTTTAACGGCTATTTTTGAACTGTATGCAATTCACGCTGGACTTGCTCCTTATTTGCATTTTGCTTTTAATTCCAATATGTGTAGCAATATATGAAAAATTATTAATGTGATAGGTGATGTATATCAATGATATCGATGTATCGTCGCACGAAAGCAATGTCGATGCCCCTTTACACTTCGATGTTGATCAGGGACACCATTCTAACGCGCTCGTTTTGCATCAAACGTTGTTTTGTTTTGCTTTAGGTGCATTTGTCTATGCATAGGGCTAAATGTAACGTGACTAGAGAAGATGAAGATCGAGAAAGTCCAGCGTGATTCGCGCGCGCCAGTAGCATTAGCATGGCAGCTCAGCCTCGCAGTCAAACTTGATTCACACAAAATCAATTTTTGCTGGTTGCAAATTTTTCGATAGGCAACGAAGCGAACAACCTGATTGGCGACCTGAAAAAAAAAGGAAGAAACAGAGCTTTCGACAAACCTGCTAATGTACACCGACAAATGGAGCAGTTTCTGCTTTTATTGTAATCACTGCTACTATTGTTATTATTATTCTTATGAGGCCGTTATCCTCTCCGAGATTACGTAGAGAAAAAGCCCGGTAAGAGCGGAAGTTAGGGTTTTCGACACACGTTAACTGGTGGAGTGTAGATTTTTACATAAGAAGCTAGAAACATTCTCTAAAACGAGTGTTGCTTCTGTTGTGAATGCCATGTGTTGATGCGTGTGACAAAGTTCACGTTTATGCCCAATGACTTGAGGTGGGAAAGGTGTACTTGTCTGCGAGGATGACAACTATTTTGCGACCTTTGATATGTCTGTTCGCGCGCCGCTCTCTTTTTGAGCTTGTCACAACAATAGAATCTTGATGACAAAATGACCGATCGCGCAACAGCAAAGCAACAATAAATACAGTGACTTTATAGGATATATAAGAGGAGAGTGAGTTGTACGTAAAGCAAGCTTGAACAAGTCATTATTGCTGGATATGAAAAAAATGCACTTTAGGAATATGTATCGTGACAAGAGAAAAAAATGAAGCGACTGTGTGATCAATTGAGGAACCTTCATTGGTAGCATAGTAACTATGTTCATAGGATTATAAAGTCATTAATATTGCTTTGCTTTAGTGTAAATTGTAACTGTGCATAATAACACGTCGATTAGTTTGGGAAGTGAAGCACCCCAAGCACAAGATGGCTTCTATCTTACAGGTAATTGCGAAGAGGCAATGTGAAAAATTAGTTGAAAGTTTGACGGGGCGAACTCATGCGGAAACGCTCCTGGAAATTTATGCAGCCATAGCAGCATCGTTAGTAACGACAAAAACCCTACTAGCAACGGAACAATGGAGACATACAAGAAGTAGTCCAGCCAAAGAAAAGCAAAAACAAATGATAATGCCGAATATTATAGAGATTTTCTAACTACGTTAAGGGGCTGGTGGGGAAGAGGACAGACATATATATATGGCTACTGTTAGGGTAAATTAATAGGCAAATCTGTAACAATAAAGAAAATTACTACCAACTTTTAGTGTCGCTGACCACAACATGCTTCGCTAGTCGATTTTAAAGAGAGGTACACTAATCATCGTGAGGGTCGAGCAAATGCACAAGTCTAGGGATTATGACTACTGTGGTAATTATTGTTATTACAATGTTATTCTCGCTAGTATACTAGACAACAAAATTTACTCAGCGCGTCTCGAAGACCAGGTACGAGGTAGATCCCGAGGAAGTTGCATTAGACAAAGACGAGGTTCAATATATCAATTCGAGGGGAAGAAGCCAAAACTGAACACGCTGACTCAAATGACTGTATCATAGTCTGTCTGTAAGAGCGTGCGTAATATAAGACTGTATATGTGCATATCACATAATGGGGGCAACGAGCCGAATAAAGTATGTAATGTTACGTAAGGCAAAAAAAAAGATGATGTTCGATGTATAAAGAGTACAGAAGACAAAGAAGAGTTAATTATGAATATTTGATGACTCCTCCTCTAGTACGAAAAAAATATATGGGCGTGCTGGCAAAAGTCGTCATAATAGCGTTTCGAAAAACGAAGGCGAAATTGTAATGTAGTTACTTTACGGTTGACTATTTTCATTGAATACGAAATTGAAAGGGTATTTTATGTTAGTCACTACTTCTGGTCCGTCAATCCAGCTGTAAACTTGAGTTCTACTCATCTGCGTGCATAATTGTTGCTTATATATTTTCTTACTCATCTATCTATCTATCTATTCGGTCTCTACGGCTATTTGCCATATACTGTGTAAATATTTTTTAGAGAAAAAAGATTTGTAAGGGCGTAAAACATTATTCGGGTGAAAGATCACGATCACAGTGCCTGCGTCCAATGGAAAACCGTCGTTTCGGGGACCACAGTCTATATCTATAATAATAATAATAATAGTAATTGTTCATAGCGGTAGATGGCGACAAAAACGACAAAAAGCGAAATGGGCAAATCCGTTGGGCGAAAAATGTAATAAGCTGTACGTAGCTTATTTAAAAAGAACACGTATCATAAATAGAAAAGATCGAAATTAATCCACTTTTCCATGATGATTATTCTCTATAGAATACTTTATACGATCTTATCGTATTAGTATTATTGACTTAAGGCACGTGTAGAGCATATCGCAGTACTTCACTTGTGACGCGAGCTAATAGAGAGCTCGTAAATTACCTAATTGCATTATTCGAGTTAATATTCACAAGCTTCTAGCGATTGTTCAAAAGCTACTGTTTATTCAAGTGCATACGGCTAAGATGTAGGTCAGGTCGATGTAAACAGTGGCAGGACGTACAAGAATCTTTCTTATGCTTATAGTGAAGCCGTATGGTTAAGTATTCAGTTATCCAGCGGTCGACATATAATGGGTCGAGGCTGGGAAGGGCAGGGACTGGGCTTATCGGAGATCTCCAGTGGAGCTTGTATAAACTGCTAAGCAAAATGGGATTCCTTCGCTCGACATGGAACGATATGAGCGGACATATTTGTTTCTTTGACCACAACTTATTTCCACAGCGGTACGGTGATGTGTACGAGCAAAACTAAGATTTTTGTCTTTTTTGGTGAACAAAAACATTTTTTACCACGTCGAAAAAACGAAAGTTAACCCCGTACCTTCAGGTGGAAAGACCTGTATGTAGAAGATGCTGCTCTTGTGTAAATGTTGACAATCCACTGTACATATATACATAATAAATACATATATATATATATATATATATATATATATATATATATATATATATATATATATATATGGAAGAAAATTAGATAAAAAGAACCCGAGAATAAGCTGTGTATGTATGTGTTATGCGGGCGTTAGATGTGTAATTGCGTAGGCAACTTGGGCGATAAAATTAAAAAATAAAATAAGTGGTTGTACTTTTCACAGTTCGCGGTCCTGTTTTCATTAGGAACGAGAAGTAATTACTGAACATCCTGCTAAGCAACTCTGTATTTCTGTTAATTTTGTCTCATGTAAAGCAGAATTCGTATTTGCCACCAGTAGATTCCAACAATGTTTGTAGAAAATGCCGTTACAAACTGGATATAGTAAAATCATATGGCTGTATTTAGGCCTTTGATTTATACACGCCATATACATCCGTTGCTAGCTCGTCACACTCATTGTGTGATGCGAAGAGCTACTTGCTCAAAAAAGTGCTGTCCGTGCGTACGATCGCACTTACATTATGATATAACATAGCATGATCAAATTTAGGCGCTGCGCGTGTGAACAATGTGCCATAATGTGTTTACCATTGTTATAAAGTTTGCTCCTGTTTATTGACAAGTATGCGCATGTGAGGACAAAATTAGCAACAGCAAGACATATGGGCACATGACTGATGCAGGTTGGCGGTCGTTTGTTTTTTTTTACGAGAACATTTAATACCAAACAGCTAATGGAATTAAAATAGCGAAGCTCATCCAATCATTAGGAGCGTGTCAAAATTCATACTCAGAGGAGAAGGTAGATTTTTTTAGTGTTGAAAACATCCAGTTTGATGGTTATACCTTGCCTTTTCCCTTACAATGTTCAATGTTCCTTCTGTACGATTTGCGAAAACTACCCTTGAAGTCTTGCTCTGAAATTACATAATAAGCTCTCCAAAAATTTTTAGATGTGCAATCCCTTCGACCACATTGGCTTCGTAAGCTTTTCCTGAGGCCGTAAGTTCACCATAAGGCCGCACAAGTTAAGGCCGGATTTTCATTCCTGGCCAACAAATTCCACGAGAAATCAATGTGTTAATCAAATCAGGCAGCGTCACTTAGACCGTCATAATCGATAGTCAGACGGAATAGTGCGTGACCAAAAGGCAAACATTTTCTGGTTGACACTCAATATCGATTACCAGATAGCCAAGATTGTACGGTTGATCGCTGTCTAGCTGAATGTAGACGGTGTCGGGCAATTTATCTCTCTGTGTTAGAAGCACACCTATGTGACCCCATCGCAGCAGCCCCAATAGGCACGCGGGATGCGAACGCTCACACGGACACAGAATATCAACCACTTAAACATAGCCTATGTGACTCGAGCGCCCGTCGAGCAGCCGAGTTCCCAACTGTTTAATCTGCTGTTAAAACAAACGTCCTGACCAAGCTTGAATAGCTATGTCTGACGAGCACTCTATAGTATAATAAAAACCTGATACCATACCTTGAATGTATTATTATCGAATCAATCACTCGTTTACTTTCAATAACACTTTTAACTGCCGTTGTATATCGGTAATTTGAATGATTTGTACATCCTTATTTATAATAACTTAAATGTAGTGCCATAACATTTGTATGCTCTACTTGTTGCATGCACACATAATGATATTTAACGTACTCGGTATTTTTATGGGGCGGAACACACGTTCTCCTATTCATGCTTATGTCTACAATAGATTTTTAAACACGACGTAGCAATAAAAAAATTTCCTTGGAGAAATAAATGAAGCGGATATGGGCAATAAGAAACGAACGGCAACTTTCCTAGCCTTCGGACCGTTCACTAAAATGTCAATGTATGCCTGTGTGCCGAACGTAACAGGTGAATATTAGGCATCAAAATGGCTGTTCGTGTCCGTCCAAGTGTGTCTTTATTCACTAGTACGTTTCACATATATTCTTAATTAAACATTTTTTAGCTGCTTCCACGGAATCGCTCAGTGATATTGGCTGACTATAACGAACACGAAATACGAGTACAATCATTGATCCATGAACGGTATCTTAAATAACCCAGACTTCTTATGGTTACCTTCAAACGGCCACAAATATTTATTTCGATCAAGAATTAATTCTGCCGTCTTGAACGTCGTGACCACCTCCATTCTATTCTATATTTTATAATTATCGCCGTTAGCAAAAGTAATGTCGCACATATAAACATCAGAACTGTCGCATGTAAACAACGTTCTTTGCTGGCTAGTAATAACGGCTGAGAGAACCCTAGTCAGATATTGCGAAGTTGAAATTGACCATTGGGTAATGGCCCTCGCGACGAGGACACGATGCGTAACCATGCTTATGGAAAGTAGTAACAGCATTAAGAGTAAATCACTTACTACCAAAGTAATATGAATATAAGGCTAAGATATATAAATAAAATAGATTTTCTAAAAGTCAATAAGATTTTGATCCAGGTACAAGTGTTAGGTGAAAAGCATAAATATCGGCTAAATTGTTAGCTAAAAAATTGTAGCCTTTCAGTCACGTAAAGAAGCACGATAACAATGAAGACAAACGTTCGTTCACCTTTAACGCTATTTTGTTTTTAGCTGTAGGCTTGTATTTTATCCAATCGTTAGCATACCTCTTAATTTTTTCCCATCCTGTACAAAGTGCTACGTAAAATCCAAAACATATGCTTTCTGCTATTAGAAACTTTGTTTTATCGTTCCGCCTCTGTAACCGTCTAGATATGAATTGTTCTTTCTTCTAAAGATTTTACTTAAACCTTCGTTAGCGGTAATAGCATGAAGATTTATCAGGCGAAGAATGCTAAAAAGAGCGAAAAGCTACAATTTTCTCCATGATAAAGGCCAGATGATTCATACGACTAATTATTTCCACAAGAAAATTCGTATTGCCATGATATCCTGGCAAAACTCACCTAAAACTACTGCGTCCTTCTATGGTTTGTTCCTACCACACTCTGTGTGATCTGTTGTCCTACTAGGAGTCTAATCCTGTTTTTTTTTTTTTTTTTTTTTTTATAAACTAAGCCACATCAATTTCATGCGGCATCTAGGACTCCGCTGCTCGAAGTTTTTCTATCAAACAAACATATATCTGATAGATACCTTCCGTTCACTCTCTACACGAGAACAACCAATTAATTATATGTGTTGTGACAAATAGAATGTTGGAGTTGTCATCAATAGAAATGTATATAATATGCATTTTGATATAAGAGATATCTTATTAGGGTGTAGTCCATTATGCAAAGGGTGCCGATCAGCTACAATAATTAATCCCAAGTTTTAGCTACTTACCAATTAGTATAGATTGGCTGGATGGTTGACACAGATAAATGCACAGATAAATGATTAAGTGGGGAAGGCCCGTACATGTTAGACTAACTTATTTTCTACATTATCTAAATGATAACTGTGGACCATCATCCCTTCTTTTCAGTTCAGCTACAACCGACAGAGGTCAAGTTGAAAAATAATATCACTTGACAAACGAAGTTATCGAATAAGCGTTAAGTAAAACTATTAAAATGGAGAAAAATTACCCCACTTACCCGTTGTCATAAAATAGGGTATCCGAAATTTGGCCGATAGGACTCGTGAGCGTAGCATTTGTAGCGTGCCTCCATCAAAAGGCAATGCACCACATACAAGCACGTATAACACAACGCCCAGACTCTGTTAATGGGAACGTATGAGGGCCGCGAGTACGGAAACAAGTCAAACACCATGCACATAAAAACGTACATACTTGGTTAGTCGACAGAAATAGATTCTGACGGCACTATGACTGTTTGAAGTGCTTCTTTTGTAAATGCATAACGCTTTTTCTGGCGTTAACGAAAAGGCATCATAAGATAAGAATAAATGATTATAACCTTTCACTTACAGCTAATTAATTCTATACTAAATATGTAGGTATATTTCTATATTTAGCTTATAAAATCGGAAGGTAAATAAATTAACTAGATGAACTATTTACACTTGAACTACCTTTGCTACTACTACAGAGGCAAATGCTCTCACAAATAAAGCGGCGGCAGCTTGTTCGTTATTGCCCCCTTTAATGGGCCGAGTCAAATTCTGGTGTTTCTAAGCAGAGATAGCAAAAAGTAGTTAGAAATAGACATTAGAAAGAACGAAATATACGTTTCTGTTTATTCATACCCTGCTATATATATATATATATATATAGGGCTGAAAATGAAAAACAATCGGATCTATAAAGCATACCTCCTTAATAATAGCGTACCTCAAAAAGCGCAGAGGTGTAAAAACAATATTAGATTAGCAAATATGTACAGGGTAAACATTTACTATAATTTTTACTTTACTATCCCGGGATTTTACCAAAGGTAAAATAAAGGTTTTCAACCTGTCAACAGCAATTTTTTGCCCACCTAATATATCAACAGATTTTCGGCGATAACCGAAAACCAAAATATGTTCTGGCGAATTTGCCCTTACCCATATATCGGCCTTGGGCCCGTCGTACTCGCGACCTTCGAAAAGTTCCGGTGCGGCGTACGGGGGACTTCCGCACCACGTACTAAGCGGTGCGCCCGGAGTGAAGAAATTACTAAAGCCGAAATCAGCAATCTTGATATTCATATCGGAGTCCAATAATAGATTCTCCGCCTTCAGGTCCCGATGCACGACATGCCGTTCGTGGCAGTATTTGATAGCTGATACGATCTAGTCAGATACAGCAGATACAGAACGGGGGCTCAGTGAGACACTCACGAAATAAGTAATCAATTATATCGATCTATGTAGTTAAGTATTTTTAGTCGCCCTGACGATGAGAAGCAGGGAACAAGCAGCGAGTTAGAATCCTGGAATATAAAATTCAATATCGTATCCATCATGCAAATGCTGCCCTTGATAAAATAATCGTAAGTAATTATTCAGATTTTCTGCTCAAGATTGTTCTGTCCCGCATACCTAGTCCATTCGGTAGGTCGTAGAGGTAAAGTATATTTAAGAAGCATTTAGGCCGATACTCGAACTTCAATCAACCTGTCAAGTGGTCTCCAGGAGTTTCTATTTCATTTTCAAAGAAATATATTTTTTCTATAGGAAACGTGCATGTATAAACCACGGCAGCTGCAGATGTTATCTATTATTGCATCCACAAGTACATATGAGTAGGGGTGTTGACTTCAAGTGTACTTGGAGCATAGCATGGCTAAATCTCCTTGCTCAGCGTCAAGATGGCATATAAATTGTATCTCATCGTTTGAAGATTCCAAACATGCTTTATATTTCTCACGGTAGTGATCAATGTGTTAGTTTTTCGGTTTATTCTGATGGAAAATCTACTCTGTAATGTTCGCAAAGTTCGTAGAGACTGTCCGTATAACTCAAGCGTGGGACTGTCGGAGCCTAAATCAATGATGAGACGTAACAGACGGATTGCGCCATACGGTAGGTAATTATTTCAGGTGTTTTTGCGAAATCGGCCAACGGTCTTCCGGGAAGAACAAACGGCAAGAAGCTGACGAAAATAAAACTCGACTTTGTAATGCTTATATAGAGTGTTTGGGAACATTGCTTTTACATATGGGCTTGTTGTACCTGGAAATAGAAATGGCCTATTAGCAGGCTAAGGCTCCCGTACTACGAAGACCTTTGAAGTACTTGACACAGGTGTGTATCTTATCTTCAGACGAAGTTACTACATTCTTTCGGTCGCGACCAAAATTTTGAAAAACAAGTGTAGAACACGCAAACAAAAATGCTCCTTGATACTCCACGTGCTGGTTTGAGCACTGTTGCTAGTACAACTCGTATATTAATTCGTCTTCATTATTGCAAAGCCGTTATTATTGCTCCAGATTGGCTTCTTCTGTTTCTGAATGGTTTTGCCACCGGGACCGTCTATAGCACTGTGCATTTTACCGGGGTGACTAGTGGCGAAAGTATAGACTATGAAAAATTTCTGCACACAAAACGCGCGGAAAAATCCTGCAAAATTAGACAACTTTCGTAAGTTGATCGTGAAGCTGTTTAAAGAATGGGGCATTGTTCGCTTCAGCATGAGAAGCCAAGTGAGTCTTGGTAGTCGCAATCGTATCCTACTGTAGATTATGGGATTTAAGAAAGGCATTCAAACTTATAATAATCGCGACATTGGTAAATATCGAGAGATTTTGTTTATTGGAAGATCAGCACACATATGCGTCTTGTCGCATTAAAGCGGCGTATAAAACAATCTAGCAATCTCTATGTTCCCTATTGTACCACATTATATGTTATATGCTGAGAAACTATCATATATCGTTTTGAAATTATCCTGCATCAGAACGCCAGGATTTATTAAAGAGTTCGTGTTGATTTTCTCTGTAATAATGTTTATTCCGATTGGGAAGTCGCTACTGGTTTGCGTGATGGCGTAATGGGTAGCACATTTGCCTGCTAATCTTAAGGGCATATTGTAATCTAGGTTCGAATCGGGCAGAGACACACGGTTCGTTTCGTACTGGGAGCCAGCCGTCTAATGAAGTTATGCTTAACGGCAACGCCGGATGTAAAATTCGAAAGGTAGAGGTAGTGAGTACCAATAGTCTCGAAAGCGTAATGAAGATTTACATTATAGTACTATCCATCCAGAGAAACAACTCTAAAGCTGTTTAACATTACTTTATGAACTCAATCTAGCAGCCGCATTTTTCGTGTATACCCTTTTTGTACCCGCAGTCTTTGGCCTTACCGTAGCATATGAAGTCTGAAGGGTATACTGAATGGCGCGTTCTCTGTGACATAAGCTAGCAAACATAGAAGGTTACACAATGTTTAAATTAATTGTTGCTACAATTCATTTTAAAAGTATGGATCTTTTTCCTTGTGTTGGCTACAGAATCAACGAGTAATTCTCTTTTGTGTAAACGGGCCCACGAAAACATCACACGTTCGAATAGTTAAGTAATCGTAAGGCTTCAACGAGAGACACAGTTGACTTTTTTTGCATGTGTAGCTGTCCACGCCTTCCCACTACACTACTGACTGCTTTTTTAGTATAGTCGAGTTTGGTATAACAGAAATACATAGAATATTTTTTTAGTGACTTACAAATCAGAGCATCTCACGAACTTTCCAAAAAAGGGTTGACTTGAACGATCCGAATCACCCAGCAGAGTTTTGTAGAAGACCCGCTTAAATTATTTATACTAAATACGCATGCATAGCTTACAAGTTCGCACCATGAATCGCTTGTACGGCCCAATGAGCTATTGATTTATAGCACTACACTGGGCTCGATATATCTGTATAAGCTAACTAGTTGAGACGAGCCGAAAAGCGTTACCCAGAATTTCTTCAGCTGTGAGGCATTGAAACACTAATGAGGTAGTGGCCTTTGCATTAAATTTGCCTACCTCGTAATTTCGATCTGACTTATTAAGCTGACAAACTGAGACTCCAGCAAAGCCTCCGGCGGAGTGATTACATTGTGGTACTTCAAACGCGCATGAACTATCCAGTTTTGTTGACTACATGAAACATTCAGCCATCAGTGACGACAGATGTTGTGGGGGTATTAAGATCAAATACAACACCAACGGTTGCTTCAAAAATTAACCCGGCATGTAAAAAGTTCGCTCAATTTTCCCCGAATTTAATGTGTATTTTCTATTATATAACGCAATAGTGTTACACATGATATATCCTACTGGATCTTTGGCGCAACCATAAATGTTGTTAGCTTTTATTGAATTATGCATAGCCTTATTTCCATATAGTTTCATAGGGTACAACTGTAGACATATTGATTTGAAGGCTGCACTTGCACCCAGCCGCGGCCTTTGCCCGCTCAACGTTCGTTTGTTTTAGGTGTGTTCCTTGCGAAATCCTTACGCAAACATTTATGCGTGACCAACTGAGTTCCACGAAGCAGCGTCGTCAATGATACTATTTTTTTCAAAGGGCGATGCTGTCACGTTTAGACTACGGCCTGCATATATAAACGTAAATTCATAGTTATTGTGTTCATTGATTTTCTAAGTTGCTTCCTGAAATGCGGAGGATTTGCTATTCTCGCTGGTATCTTTTTGCTTCGGGCTTTCTGCTTCTTGGATAAAATGTGACAATCGACAATTCGTTCAGCTGACATACCTTATACACGTGCAAACAATAATGATGATCAACGGAATGCAATGCACGTCGGCATCTCGAAGTTAACAGAGTGCAGAGCACGTTCGCGTTCTGTGAATTCTGTTCATCTATTATGATACATTATAAATATCTGAGCCTGATTTAGGTCTGCCACGGGAAAAAGAATATAGGAGAATACCTAACGCACTACAATTTGTTTTCACCAGTCATGTCTTCGCGTCAGCTAAACATTACCTGTTTGAATTTTTGCCGGGCGGCGGCTTCACTCATGGGTCCATTATCGACGAGAAAGTCAAATATTTCTCCATTTTGCGCGAATTCCGTCACCAAGTAGATCATCTGTTGACTTTCCATCACCTGTAATGCAAGGGAACACCGTATATTTAATCTACATTTGTGTCTTTTCCAAACGTGATGTTTTTCTTCCAGACGTCATGTAGCCTAAATCAGTTGGCGTTACACGTAACCAAAGTTAGGACTTGTATTTATTATGTGCTAAAGAATAACGATCCGTTTAATGACTGAATGTTGTCGAATTGTCTCTGCACTAGTAGTTTTTTTTAACATGGAAGGGAAACTCTGTTTTCTGACGAATTTCCCGTATACCGTCAGAAAATCTGATTACTGTTAGCAGTCGTCACTGGTTAATAATCGAAAATATTTGTATCAGATATGCATTATGTTGGCTTGAAGATAATTTAGATTTTTAGCTACTTAATGTAAAACGAGTGCAATTTAAATTTTATTATATACGCAAACCTGTGACTATATAAATATATATACTGGATATTGATTGTAATTTTATTGTTAATCATATAATATAAGTACAAACTGTGTGAACTCTTAGAGTCTAGGTGTACCCTTCTCACATATGTACATATCAGGCGAATCCAGCGGATTTTGAAATTAAATAACTTCTGAATTGGGCTAGACTGATGATCCTTTGATACGTGTTAGAAGTACTTCCCCTTATTTTTTACACATTCGTCTCAGCGCTCTCGTGCTTCTGAACAGCTGTGTACCTAACATTGGCATTTCCATATGCAATTTTTCTATCTACGGCCCCTCAGAATGAATCGATAGTGGAATATGCTTGCCCACCAGCTGCCTTCCCTAAAGCATGGTAAACGCCGTAATTACACTGACTTAGATCGGATGAATAATTGCGTTGAAGCCAACGTTAGATACTCCTTTGCTCAATCTAGGAGGTAAATGAGGCATAGCGATGAGATCTGTCGTTATAATTAACTAACCAAACTGCGTCCCTTCGATTGTCGTGCCAACGGTCCATGAGTCTCTTGAGGAGCTCGAGATAGCGTACTGCGTTCATTGCTTCATTTTGTGCGAATATCCCATAGTAGAAGACGCCCCTGACGTCCATTGTAAGTACTATCATTACTTAATGTCCGAACCTTCTTAGCGTTACTGCCGAACTCGATTTCTCTCCGGGGCGACACCATTCGCTTGCCTGTTCTGTCTTCGGCCGAGAGTAGAGATTGAACCATGCTCACCTATGGTCGAACCCTTAGACTCCAACCCTGTTTCCGTGAAAACCGTCCTCTATTGCAAGAATGCGTTTTTGTCCTTCGACTCTCGACATCTAGTCATCTTCTTGCTTGGCCTCAACACTACAATCTTTGCTCTTAAAATATTTACACCATTGAAAAAAAAAGCTCAACCATTGAGCGCTGATCTTTGAGACTGAAAAAAATTTATCCTTCTGGTACCTTTTAGTAAGATCAGCCGATTCCTATTCACAATTTCTATCGCAAGTATTTATTAGCCAAATTTCGTCTACGAACGATTCATAGCTGAGAAGTTATTTAATTTCACCGTCAGCTGAATCCGCTTGTGGTAGCATAATATAATATACAGGGTAAAGCATTCAAAGTCGGACACATATCGACGGAGTATGTGTTCCAAAAGTCAGTTTTTTCTAACATAAGACAGCAGACTCATTATGACAAAAAGTAGTGTCTTGTTTGCAGAATTTGAGCGAAAACTAGTTATCTAGTGTGTTTACACGGAACGAACACATAGCGAGATTATAAGTTTACTATTTTTACTTGTTTATGTTATTGCCAATTTTCATGCAGCTTTTCGAAAATTTCGAACGAGATTTTCGGGAAGTAAACTGAAGTATCCTCAATAATCTATCCCGTGCTTTAAAGGTGTCTTGCCGAAATGGTACAGTTGAAAGCATCAAACGAAATTGTCCTGTATCATAATAGAAATCATAAGAGCTGTACGAACGACAACAAGACGGCAGCCGTAATTTGAAAGTGGCAACAATTCTTATTGGTCTTGGTTTTATGTCTTATCCCGTCTATTACGCCAACTCGAATCTAGTAAACACACCAATTTACATGGGGTCCCTGTTACTCCTACCATGGTATCTCTCTTTTTTTTTTTTGTTTTTATTTCTTCTATGCTACTGATTTGGTACAGAAGTTAGGTACGTGACGTACTGACTCATTCAGGCAAGCCAACTTCTCATGCTTTCATCACGGCCATCGGTTACAGCAGCAGCAGACGTACGTAGTTCAGCTCTCTGCGATACAATTGAGCGAGAGTAAGTTTAGGTAAAGTTACGAGATGATGCATGTCTTTTCTGTATTCCTCGACTACCTACACTCAGCTTTAGCAAGCAAAGCCGTGTTTCGTTGAGGGAATTTTATTTTTTTTTACGCTCAACTTCTCAGCGCCACCTCCCGTCCTTCTAGCTTTAAGCTTCCCGAACTTTACGGAACAATCCGGATCGACCCAGACTCTCTGAGCTGTTCGCCTCTAGCGATATATTCTCTCGTGGCAACGACAGAGTAGCAGCAACGATGAGTGTCGTAGCCATCAAGTTTATAGGTGAACGCCCACTCAAAATCCTACCTAGAGGCAACATGTAAGATGGCCCAGGGGGCCAAAATAAGACAAGCCTGATGACATAGCAATTTAATGACATACCTCTATGTATGTACGGTATCCCTCAAGGGTGCTTGCCAGAAGCGGGCCTAGTGGGTTTCTTGTAAAGGCATGAACCAGTTAACGCTGTCCAATCAAAAAACCAGTGATATTTTCGTATTCGCCGTTTGGCGACCGCACTGTGTGAATCAGGCATTGTCAACTTCAGCACTTGTTCAATTTTTGCTTTTCAACGAGCCAGACACGGGCGCAGATTACTTTTCTTTCCCCTTACGTGTATGTGTTAGTGATTACAAATTTTTGTATTCTCTCTAATGTGCTTTACAGCTAGGTGTATAGTAATAATAGAAGAAGCGATCTCAGGAAGTCCAACAAAACTACATAGTACGCTGTATTAAAATCACGATTTTTTCTATAGAAAAAAAAGAAATGTACCCTTAAAATTGGTCTTAGAGTTCGTGCACCGCCAACCCTCATGAACTTGTAGGAAGCTTCCTTCAGTTAAGACCAAGACACACGCTGCGTGAATGTTTCAGTGGAAACAAAAAGAGCAACAGGACAAACAAGTAGCCTTCGAGTGGCGCAGATAGATACAGTCGTCGAAGAGAGGGCTTGTTTTCGATATAGATGTTCATGTCTATAATTGACCATTTGTTGAACCTTTCTTTTCAGAGGTTTCAGCTACGAGTTTCAGCTACTAACTCAAGAAATCGACTTGTAACAAAGAATCGAACAAAGTTAAAGTTAAAATGCCATTCTTTAGCAAAACTTATCAATTGTATAGTCGGATAAGACAGGTGGTCGCGTTAAAACTTTAAAACTATGATGAAGTCTCCGGTTCTGATCCCGCAGGGCACATACATATCGGCGCGGTTTTCTACTTGGGCTTTTGTTAATATAATTAGCTTATTAATGATATTGTCATTATTATAATTCGCATAAGCTGTTTTACCAGTATATGCGATACGAGCACCGTATGCGTCGACCGTGCGCTTTTTTTTTCAATTAAAGGTAATCACAAATTCTATCGATACTAATCTAAAGTGGATCCTATTATGATATGACTTTACAGGCGTAACAAAAGCTAAGCAGCGACCGGCGGAACAGATTCAATACAAAGCACTGACAAAAAAGTCACTTGGACCCAGGAAGAACTAATTGTGCTATATATTCTCAGGCTTTCGTTTCCATCTTTCAATATGTCTTTTTGTGTTCTTATTACTTATTCGTAATAGATAATAGATGATCTTGTTACATCGTCACTCAAACAACAAATGCCAAAGAATACTATTTATACATAGATACACTATATTGTTTACGCTTTCTCGATGGCCATGTAAGGGGTTCCGTATCTTCAATATTGAATCGCCAAAAACTAGTAGCTTGTTTCTTATTGCACCACCTCATGTTAATTAGCACCCCTGGTGACCGTGCGATCGCGGCAAGTGGTTTTCCTCCCCGTTATCGGTTTCTACTCGATATCGTATCTCCTGATCACACAGCGGACCTCTTATAGAAAACTACTATAAAACACAGGATAGATATTTCACAAAGGAAAAAATGTAGACGAGCCTTGTTCCAATGTTGTCGTAGCAAGCGGTTAGCGCCAAACCACTGGCGGCAAAATTTAACGGGCGGTTACATTTCGAATACTTCCGCGCTTTACGAGACATCATGTGCGGCGCTGATCACAGTGGACTGAGACGATATAGAAGGCGCTTTAGATATGTGATAATACGCAATGCTGGTACTGATATTGGCGGAGGCGACGTTTACGTCTCGAGCCACCTTTTCATCACAGCTGAGCCTACCGCAACAATACTATAATATAATATAATTACTATAAGAATAATAATAGTGGCAATTGTTTGATCGCGGTCACAGCGTATCATGCCCACATGTTGAACGCAGGACTCGTGTAAAATGTCGTGCCGTTATTATCATAATTATGAAAAGTAGGTTTTTGGCGTTTTTCAGCAGTTCTGTCATGCTGTCTTCGGTGGCAGAAAAATAGCCACTGAAAACGAGGCACTATTTAAGCTTCTTAGAGAACAAAAGAATCATGCATGGTATTATGCATATCTGTTTCAGGACATTTGTTCAGAACTATTATGATATCTGGAAAGTTCGGGGGAGCTCTCAGTCTACCTTGTTAAACTTTGGCGAGTTACTACACAAGTCCCTTTCTTGAGCTGTACTAATAAATTCCACTACACGCATATTATCATAATATGATGACAGTGTAATACATAAATCCTTCTAAATTAGGGTTCCATCATTTTCCTGCTATTCCGTATTGCTTCTATTATATGGTTCAATTCAGAACTATACCTGGTAGAGCTTGACAATATGCGGATGGCGGAGTTGTTTCATAACTTGGATCTCGCGAAATATCTTCTGCAGATTCTCTTCGTCTAACTGGTGCTTATCGATGATTTTGATCGCCACCTGCGGGGAGAAAGAAGCGTTCAGAAAGACAAAGACGCGGTTAAACATTGTGAGTACTGTAAATGCTCGTATAGAACTGGCGCGTTCAGACAACTGACAAGAAACCGCTTAGTCTTGCGGCGCTCCGCAAGAAGAAAACAGGCTTCATCTATAAGCATTTGTTGAAACATTTCAAGTTAGAACTACACGGCCGCATTATTTTTAACTTATACAAAAACGAATGGATTCGTGGCCTTCACTGGACTTCGACGTTTAGAGGAGATTTCCACCGATTGAACATCTGTAATAGCTTCATTGTGTGGAGAATTATTTTAGCATCGCGCGACATCTCATAATGCACCTAACATTAAAAGTTAGTGTAAATTGACGTAAAAATACAGAGCAAATATGAATATTGCGTATAATTTACAAACGTATATACTATATTATATGCTGCTACACGCTAAAGTATAACAAATGTAAAGTATCTGGTGTGAGATCTTTTAAACTGAATAAATATCTAAATTAAAAAAAAAAGACTACAACCTCGATTCTCAAAACAAGCAAATTGTCCAGTGTTTTTTGTTACGCTGCTGATTCTGTAGATTCAGAAACAGTTACCATGAAAAAACCGTTTTTTCGAACAACTGTATTGTGTTTGCATCATTGCATTTCGCTTCGTTACGCCGAAGTAAACGTTTATTCTTCTTTAGTAAATTTAATAGCGTTCCTGTGTAAGTCTGCCTATTTCAACACGTCGCCACTGAACTAATATAAAGAGCATTCAGGTCCCGTAGCGAATGCCGCTGGCATAACGCAGATAAAACTGCGTTCGTCGTCGGCGCCATTAGTGTCACCAGCGTTTGTCGGGATAATAAGGCGGTAGACGCTTAGGCAGAAAATCAGATAAAAAATGAACCTGATATATACAGTGGCCTACCAAAAATGCATACATCAAACAGTTCTGCAAAAAAAAAAAAAGACGGAGTTCTGTCATCGTACCCTAGCGCACTCCGTAATGAGACTCGAATCGGCAGTCAACTCATAACCACCCTCTGCACAAATACCCAAAAATTGCTCAGCCCCGACTCCGATGTCGCGATTTAAACCCCCTCGCACAATCGATTTTTCCCTTTATCTTCTTCACATGCTTACGTTCCTAACGGGTCGCTCGCGCAATCGGCTTGTTCGTTCGTAACGTTCCCTAATTATGGTTAGCGATGCACAGTAGATTCAATAGAAAAGTGGAGCTGCGTGGGCACTGACCGTTCGGCTTATATATTACATAAGTGCAGGCTGCAGGCTGCAGGCCACTGCCGTAACCGGTTAGGTGGCCGCGGTCAGGGCCTTCGACGGTTGGATTAAATCATAATTCAAAAACGTGCGTGATCGTTTCTATTTTCGGTGGAAGCAAAGGATTAGATACATCCTACGTTGGCGGTACGGATGACATTACGATGATCGATGCGCTTATGAGATGATAGTGATACAGGAGGCCAGATGAGGAGATGAAACGTTCACTATACATATATATTATGGAATATTATAGATGTGCTACGGAAGCTGGTTTATGAATCAAATTCGTATGTGATGGATAAAAGGAGAACGGATCAGAGTAAAAGGAATCGATCTCTTTGATAGCACTGAAATGCGTCCAGCTAGCGGGCCAGATGTGTGAAACATGCTAATGGTATATCAGGCCATCGATCGAAGAAATAGAAAAAACACGAGATGCAACAACGTGTATACGTCATCGTAATAAAGTAATCTGATATGGCTGGCTAGAAAAAAACAATTTGTTAATATGAGAAGCTATGATAATGATAGCAGGTGAGTATGGCCGAGAGTAGCGATGAATCGTACCAAAATACTGTTATACTAGAGAAGCTGCTGTTTAATGTAGTGAATAAAGTAAATTAATATGGTCAATGCTTGCTTCCATCCTGTAGAATGACGGAAAAAATTTGTCTGACAAAATATGACTGAGAAGTTCACTTTTTTTCCACTCGATCAGCGTCGTCAAGACAAAATCTCTATGACGTCACGAACTGCTACCTAAACATGGGACAGAACAGGTAACTACCGTACAAGGATGAGTGTCTTAGGTGACGAAATTCATTATTGTATTACCGTTAAATAGAGTAAGAGATATTGTTCCTTAAGCTGAGATTATTTGATGTGCATCTTTTGCCTAGGCAGTGCCTTTGGCGATATATATGATGCGCCTTCAGTGTCAATACATTGGCGACTGATACCCGGCTTGAGGCTCTAGGCATCTATTTATTTAGGTTGAGTCTCCTAATAATGTCATGCTAGTTGACCTAAAAGGTTTCAGACTAAAAAATCGACAACCCGTTTCATAATATTATGATTGACATATTGGTTGGAAGCAATTTGACATTTTTATCTTTCGTTTAACTTGCCATTTTTTCAGTTTTTGAGACGTAGGTCAGATTCGCTCTAGAATTCTAATAACCGTCACCATTTAGAAAAAAAACTTAGCACACGTCGGGTATGCGCCGATCCTGTACAGCGTCTACATGGAACCAGCGATTGCTTGCTCCATTCTTACGTAAGATGGCATTATTCAGTTGCAAACGTTGAGATTCTGGCGGGTCTTTGTTGCCTGTGTCGTATTAGGCACGAAAACTAAAGAAAGACGAAGTTCAACAGATGTTCTTAGCTTTAATAGCGGTAGGAATACTGTAATACCGTGTCGTTATTGTATCGTAATCTCGCGCATCGTAACATAGCGATCATGGCCTATAAAATGTCTAGGATACTTATACACTGTGATTGCTGACATATTCATGAAAATACACGCGCCTAGTTTCTATTTTTCGTATCATTGGCTCACGTTACTGGGTCGCCGGTCGCATCGCCTATAGCGTGGCTAAATGTTTTGTGCAAGGCAGAGATTCTATGCTCTGTTCCGCGTTTCCGAAAAACACAGATAGAGATGCATGCAAGGCTATGTTAGAAGACACTGTCCAGCTCAATCATTGGATCACTTCGACGTTATAAAGACGACGCACTAAATCGTATCGTAGCAGACATCTTTCAGCTTGCTTACTCCGCCGGCGTGGTGTCATGGTGACGATAGGCCTACACGGATAGATCGCGCTGCATGATGCGTCAGTTTGATACAAAGCATAAGACATAGAATCGGATCAAAATATATATGACATCGGTATCAATGTAGGGAATCTAGAAAAGGATACGTGTCATCCATCCTCGCTGCATTTAGCTGCCGGTGACTACTAAGGCCACCGTAACTATTTTAGCGGTATTTACAACATAAAACGGACAAGCATTAGGCGAGACATGTCCGTGCTAGTAGGACATGACAACGTGGACCTGAGTCGTGAATTTTTCCTGCAGCAAACGTTCTCTTTTTCTGTACCTGTTATTTATTGTCTAATGAGTAAATACATATATATGTCACCAACTGCGCATACAATATGATTATTCCGAAGACCATTGTGCCCCGTCAGATCACTTAGCTCTCTATCTGTCTGGAACGTCCCTGTGACCATGCTAGCCCGCGGCTGCCTGGTGCCTGGCCTCTATTTTCCTGTTCATACGTTCCTTCTTGAATGCCCGAACAGATAGTTCAAAAGGACTACTTCTTCTAGTTAAATCCGCAGCAGCGCATGATCTTGAACTGGGCAATATGGGCCGTGCATAAGTCGTAAGTTTTTACGACCATTGTGGAAAAAAGCTGCTGCTATATTAATATGCTACCGCACTATCTGACGACGTTAACAACATCAACCACGCTAGCAGGAACCCTATTACGACGGTCGCTGTCTGCCGTCTGTCATACTGCACGATCATAGACAACGAAATGTACTATACTCGAGTTCTTAAGCGAGAAACGGATCTCTCTTTGATCATCTAAAATCTACGCGGACTAAATACTTTTACTGTGACCACTACTTTCAGTAATGGGCAATGTTTCCGGCGCTAGTTGATTTTGAAAGCACAACCTGTAACCCAGCTGCCGATTTAGCATTTCTAGCTGTTTATTGACTCATTAGCCTAATTGGGTCATATGTACTTTTTATGGCTAGCTTGTCCGATTGTCGGTACTTTCATTGTGTAGATAAACATCGACAAAAAAAAACTAAGACGCTACCGGCAAAAGTCATAATAAAATGCAACAACAGCCCGCAGCTGGCGTCGTAAACAGATAGTAACGCCAGAATTGTTGTTAATATTATAGGCGATCCATTAGCAATCTACAATATTATACATGAGCTATAAACAAAGCAACGCCTATTTCAAGAACAATGATTTTTGTTTACGTAGTGATTATTACCTGTTAAAGAGAGATTTAATAGAAAAAGGTTTGATTAGATGCAAAAAAAAAAAAATGTTTACATTCTCAGAGTTACGTAACTCGGGCTAGAAATGCAGGAGAAAGGGAGTTACTAATTAACTTGTCATACCATTTTCTTGGAAGGAAAAAAATTAGTTAACATTGAGTAGACATTGCTCCAACGCATTTTTAGCATCTATTCAATAAAACAGTTGTTTCTATTGTGGTGGCTGACATTTACTCAGTTTTGGCATTACGGCAAGAAGCCATAAACTTGGCATGAATTATATCGAAACGTACTGCGAAGCAACCTGACCGATTATATGCGCGTATTTTTTTAAGTTTGGGTGCCAACAGCACCCAACCACGCATCATATAAAGGAAAATTTATATTATTCATTTTTCCTCCATTCATAGCTTACGGGACAAAGTTTATTTAAAAGTGCCACAGTATTACCAAATTAGCTTTTAAATGTCATTTGCTAATTATACAGAGCTACTAGGTCATGGTCGCATGGTTAGATTTGAAAAAAAATACATAGAGATATTATTTGTAAGAGTTCCAAACCGTGCACATTATAAACCTAAACCTATAATTGCAAATTTCATTAGAAATATCTGCACCGTCTTGCCTGCCAAAGAGAGCCCTTCGGATTCTTCTTGAAATCGCTTTTCCCGGATGTCTACTGTCCTCATTTAGAAAGTTCAACAGTAGTCGTAAAAACTCCGTATATAATAATTATGCCATCTTGCAAACGGTTACATTCTATATTACTTGATAAAACATTCGAAATAGGCATACAAAATTATTACGCAAAACATCCAAAGAGAAACAACTTTCAAGCACATTATTAACGCTTGTTAATGATTAAAGTTTTAATTCATCAATTCTTGGTACGTACCTTGCTCTGCGTGACGATATGTGTGCCAAGGCGGACAACCGCAAAGTTTCCTTTTCCAATAGTCTTGCCGATTTCATAGTACCCAACGCGCACTAGAGATTTCGAATGATGGGGCACTGACCCAGAGGTGACATGGTCCGTAACCGAGGCAGGTGGAGCCCAACGTTGTGACGGAAGCTGGGCCGGAAGTGAACGCTGACTTGTGGATTCCGTCGGGGGTGGCTGCGGTGGCTCTGATGAGGCCACCGGCTGTTGTCGTTGCTGCTGCTGTTGTTGTTGTTGCTGCTGCGAGCTCTGTATGGCAACAATAGCAACTGTCCGTTGTTGGTGTTGCTGTTGTTGCCGTTGCGGTTGTGGGGAGGCCATGGTGGAAGCTGGCCCAAGAGCTCAATGCGCCCCGAGCTTCAGGGCTCCACGAAAGGAGCACTGCTGCCACCACCCCCAACTCAGTGACCGCAACAAGAACCGTAGTCGACAATGGTTTTTCGCTGGTATCAGTAGCGGCTAGAGACAATTCTTGGGAGGAGGGCGTCTTCTTGAGCACAAAACGAAGACGACCTCGACTCCTTTGGACGTCTCCGGCTGCGATTCCTGTTGGGGACGTCGTTCTGGGAGGATTCTGCGGACGCTCTCCGTTGAAATACTTCTTTCTTCTTCGTCGACGAAATCAATGGCAGTCACGAATATCGAGCTACGCTTTCACGCCAGGTTAGACGGAAGCGTACAAGCAACAACAACAACAGCTGTCCCAATTCAACTGATGCCCAGCACGAAACAACTTATATATGCGCTCTTACGCCCCTTAAAATCGAACACTTCCAACACTTTGCACTCACTTCAAAGACTGGGAGGTATGGATAAAGAGATCTCACAATGTCGAACAAAACACAACAAAAAGGACAATATTGTAATATCACAACGAGCGCCTGCAGAAAAAAAAGGCTTAGAAAAAGCAGAGCTTCAGCAAAAATGATTTGTTTGAGCACGGCGAAGATAATTAATGTTACTCAGCGATATACCGTCGATTTTTGTAATTACGTGATGACGGCAAAACAACAACAGGATTGATCATGCAGAGCGCTCACTCGCCGTTAGAAATGTCGAGAAATTTATTCAACAATTTTGTTATTATTGTTGTTTTTATTTGACAGTTCTTCGTTTTGTAGATTTTGTTTAGGTAAATGGTTGTTAGTAGTACAGTTTCCAGGCAGCTACGCTTGCATCCATTGCGATTATAGTTGCAGAAGACGTCGATACTCGCTTGAAGCTATTCTGTTGACTGGCTGTTAAATGCGGCTAGAAATTCACATAGGTAGGCCGCTCTTTTGTATCGTGCTACCCCTTAACTGAATTGCGGATAACGAAATTTTGCAGTGATGAACCCAACTGATCTTGAGCCTGTAATTCACACGCCCCCCTCCGGGAGATTGGTGTAGGTAGGTCATAGATGTGCGATACGAACGACAACTCGATCTTGTTTCTAGATGCATCCGGATGTTGAGACGAATCGTCACAAAAATTCAGGAAGAATGGAGTAATCATGACATGAGGATGGGATGCAAAGGAAAAGAAAATTATACGTGTTAGAAATGCGTAAATTGAGCAGTCTAAAATCGTTAATTAGATATTGATGTCCTATTGAATGGGTGGTCCCTTTCTTTAGATCATAGCAAATTTGCACCGGCCCAAAGTGACCGACCAAAGTTAGAAAAAAAAAACACTCTTGTAAACGTATCTCAAGCTATGTCACGTCACGTTCCACTACATAAGCAGAAGTTATTTTTGTAAATTCAAGATTTTCCGACTTCGGGGTTTCAAGGCACTAAGAAAAATATATTAAAAAGCACTCGCTATATCTTCTTTGTTTAGCGAGAATCTTGTTCTTTTATGTTCCACATTAGCAACGAGTAGAAAACGAGAGACCACCCATACTTACTACTAAATTGTAAAACGCAGCGTGTAAACTGTATATGAAGTGAAGGTGAAGAAGAAAGTTGTTCTCTCTCTTTGTGTTTTTGCCGTTATTTTTCTTGTAATTATCGACGTTATAATAACTCTGTCCTCTCGCTTGGGCTATGCCAAGTTGTTAAACACGTAAGCTGACTACAAGGGAAAGATGTGCGGTCATTTATATTTTCATTTATACTTTTGTCATATTCGAGCGTTTGCAGTACATGTAGGAGATACTGAAATTGTTCACGAGACGAGCAGGTTTTCCAGAGGAAAGGCTTTTTCTCACAGTGCCTTTTTTCGTTCTTTCTACCTAGGCGTGTATTGTATCTGTTTTTATGCACAAAGTACCTACAAAGGCTTGAGCAACATAAAGATTAAGTGTTAACCAGCAGGGCTGGCTAGATTTCAGGTCAATGTTGCGACCATGGCTAGGAACAATTTCAGCGTTGGCACATGATTATCATGGTTACCATGCCGTTTTATAGGCCTGTCGAAAAAAAAAAAACCCTAAATAAGTCCAGCAGAACTTACCCCGGTCAGACCTTCTACTGGAGTAGGTCCTTGATGCTATACCGAAAAGCCAATTTTAAGGATTGTTTCGCACTTTAGAAACAACCAAAGCTTAAACAAAAGCTAAGGAAAGCTTCACTCCCTTTTGACACGGTGGATCGGCGAAACATGTACGAGCTAATACATATTCTTTACTGCCCTGCGAAATGATCAAAATTGCCTATGACAATTGTGAGCTGCTCGATTTAGACAGAAGTACCGAGATTCAACACTCGGAATACTACCAGCTCGAATTCAATACAACCTGTACCTTGAATTATTCACTCTGCCGGCTCGAATCGTGTCGTCTGTCCACATCTATCGTGACGACAATATGTCAATGTGGCGGAGAGTGTTCAGCCTCTCCTCAAACCGGCACTTGGACACTCGAGCGTCTTTTCCTAAAAATACTAACCAAATCAACTGGCAGTTATGTAACCTAATGTGACGTATTGTGAAGAATGAGAGACTGTAGTGTGAATCTATGGGAATTCAATCGATAACGACGCGTTTGCTTTTTTTTCGCAGTATGACTGCCATGTTCCGGACACAGGCGGTAAGGTTACGTGCCAAATTATTACCAGCCAATCGGGGTTAGTAAACCTCAAAGGGTCGGTAAATTTCTGCCACACAGGCAGAATCACTTTTCCAATCTGCCCATGGCTATGCTGTGTTAACGACTGTCTAACGATCGAACATAGACCCCCAACTTTGCGACCAATCGACACATGGCTTTAGTTTTATCAGCATTATTATTTTCTAATTTGTATGCATGTTCCGAAATTACCATAGCTGTTATCGTTATCGCAGGTAACAAAAGAAGACATTGACCGTTTTTAAGCCAAAACACAAAGAAGCAAATGTTCTTCTATATGTCCAGATAACATTGTTGACTAACTAAATACGCGCCATTTAATGGAACATATGTTTTAGCTTTACTTTTTTTATTTACACATTAACATGGTATATGATAATCTATTTTTCACCATTCCATTACGTTTCTGTAGACTTTTGCAGATAGAAAACGACTGAGTAAATAGTTTGGATTAATTAGTGCAAAATCGAAAACATCGAACTCCTTTCTGTGGCCAGCTATCTTCAAGTGATTTAAAATTGATTGGTGGCAGATATTTGGTTTCTCGGCTGCGGCGTTGATAACCGATGTTGAATTTTCGCGAGAATTTCATAATTTTTTCTCCGCAGTTGGTGAGCCTATTGCCAGAAGTATCTTTTAGGACGAAAGCGACAGAACCGTTACTAAGTCATTGGTTTCAATAGCATATCGTGACTATGAAGAGCACACAGCTCTTTTAATAGGCCTAGGTAGCACCTGTGACATCGTGAACTATACCAAATTTTTGTAGAAATTTCACTCATATCCAAGGTGTTCTATCTAACGTCTCAGTAAAGGCATTTCTATTTTCGTACACCTACTATTGTCGACACCAACGCCAATCCAGTACGACTCATGTTACCTGAACTATATGACTTCAAAGTCATCCAGGAAAAAAACGGTCAATAATTCTTCGATGACCCAATATACCACTGCCTTCGTCGTGCTTACGATGCCCACTACATAGAGCAACTATACGACACACAGACACAGCCAGCACCGTTATAGTTTTGTGAGTATGAACGCTATGAAACCTCGATATTCACTATAGGCATTCTCATTTATCAGGTTAATTACAGACACGGTATGTCTTAAATGCTGCGTGCGTCACTTCCTTTCTTTCAAATACACATACACATGTGAAAGATATCACAGGCCAGTTATGACATCGTGCAACTTCTATATCAAATTTGCCCACCGGGAGTTCAATCAGCTTATTCATTAAAGACATGGGTGTCATAGAAGCGGACGACAATGACCATGGACTACAACGCAAGGCCCACTGGAGCCACAAAAATACGGGGCAAACATTGGATAGTCAGAAATTCGGTTATGCTCTTCTCTGCGAAGGTGGCCAGGCCATAGTACACACATAGACACGGACGCCACGCCAGCAAGATAGTGATGGCTGCCGCTGCCAAAACCGACAGATCGACCTAGGATTGGAAAGAACGAAGTCTAGGTTGCTGCTATGCTAATGAACCAGCTCTGCTAGTCGAAATAGTGTCTATTAAAGTTGGGTCTTGGAGCATTCTAATTTCGGTCGCTGTAGAAAAAGTGTCAAATTATACAGAGTCGTCGAACAACAGGGTCGCTTTGAACTGATAGGTTCGTCGAGAATTGGCCACGATCCATGAACGTGCGTATTTGTGCTTCTTTATTACGATTAAAAGTATCGGAGCATGGCCTAGGGCTGAATGTGTATACCTCTCCTATGTTTATAGTTGGGCGACTTTACGAAATTCATCATGGTTGGTTCAAGCAAGGAATCTTCTCGGTTCCTTACTTGTCAGAGAGATGTCATCTGTAAGACTACTGCTATAACTAAATGCGACGCTAGATCTGGCCAACGGGAAAAACCGTATTCTTGATGTTCTGGAAGGCAAATGATAAACGCTATGTGTGGCATACATCTATATGTACCTTAGAAATGGATTGTATTATAATTTACCTTATCATTCGATCCTGTTTACGCGTAGAGATCTCGTATGAAATGTGACGTCCGTCTCATATCGAAGATGCCGCAGCATAATCGAGCAAACACTGCCCGATCGTGTCATACACAAACGGACATTTCGCCCATCCCTAGAACAGCCTGCCCCTCAACCAACTACTCATCCTCAGTGGGAAAGCGAAATACATTGGCACAGTATATTGCTGGGAAGCTAGCAAGGGAAATAATAAGGCGATAATAATCCGGTTAATAGAAACACATTCAGCAGTGTCAATCGTAGCAGTAGCGGCGAAGACAACGGAATCATATCAAATTGTCTTAAGTTTCTTGATAAAGCAATAACGTGTTTTAAGGTTACAACGATTTCGTTAGTAGGCTGATCCCATCATCGGGCAGGCGGCGAAAAGCTCTGCTCAACCAGGTCGCCGGCATAATCGTTGGCTCACACTCGTTCACTCTGCGGCTGCCCCAACGGACGCTATTCGGTTCGGTGCAGTGCCCTCTATTCGATCCGTGTGCAGAGCACATCTATGTGTTCCAAGGCCACATTTAACATAGGCGATTTCTGAAAACACAAGTGCGCTTTACATGACATATCGGTTACATTGCTTCTTTTTATCACTGAATTAATGGCAGATGCTCATGGACCGTTCTATGAAGGGTTGGATGAACGTGTTCAATTGACTTACGACCACAAATGTAGACGGCCTAATAATAACTGTCCTATTATTACGCGACACGTCCGATAGCCATCGAATACTGCCGGCAGCAGAGGCATTTTCGTATATCGCAATCGTATAGTTGCACATATAGGGGGGCAAGGGACATTACCAGGCGTGTTTAAGGCAAAATCTTGGGAATCAGGTCAACTTTGCCTGAAGGTTTGTTGCCTGCCGTTGACACTGTCGTCAGGAGAGGAATTCTGCCAAATTGGTAGACAAAACAAATGTTTGGCCGCATGAATCTGTCGTATACGCAACAATAGTAATACCATTAATACATTGTAACTGGTAGCGATTCACGTTTGTCGTGTACAGCTACTGAATTGTCGACCCGGTTCATATACAGATACGAGCGTCGAATGTGTGCGTGTATTATTTTAGATATCTACAGCATGGTCTAGGCAGACGGAAAGCCAGCTTGCCGATTGAGTTTGACACCCTTGGAGATTAGTGAATCAGTTACTACCGTCGGGAATAGAGTTTTCCCACAGTGACAGAGCCTGGAGCTCTCATTGGGTCAGTCCTAGCTGGCCCTTGGCAGTTTGCCGTACCTGAGTGGTAAAAGCCGGCACACTGGCTGAACCTAATTGACTTTGACAGCTTCCGTTCTCTGTTGTTCAGGGTTGAGCTTCGCGCGGAATAGTGACAAAGGTACGATTGCGGGTCCATGTCAATGTCGCTTAGAGCAAGACCGGGTTCGCGAGTGCCTTGCGCGCGTTTTCCACGCGGGCGACGTCATGGAGATAATATCGAGTGTAACGAGCTGCACAACAGCTGGTGCTTTAATTATCAAATATACGGGATCTATTACATGCATATTATTCTGCCTGAGAAGTTTCGACAGTGGGCCTTAATTCTCATTTCTACTACTGTTAATTATATGCTTATCTCTTGCGAGTTCATTTGTTGGCTTCGTCTGTCTGTTCAGTAACAGCGGCCAGT